GTACAGAGGGTGAGAAAAATGGTTGGCCAATAACAAAAATACTTTCTGCTTCAAAATCTGGTTTCTACATACTCCTGTGGCTTATGCTTCCTTTTGCTGTGATCTCCATTATAAAGAAGAAAGTAGTGTGGAAAACAATCTAGAACAGAGAAAACAGCAAAAACTTTTCTGAAAGACTGGAAACCTTGTATGGACTTTTTGCTGAAAGAAGAAATTAAATGATTTATGGATTTGAAGATTAAGAAAGATGTGGATTAAATGAGGGACTGAAGAGACTTGAATAACATCTAAGAGGGAAGAGGAGGTAATAAGATTGTAATTAATCTGTTGACAAGATCAGAAGTCATATATTTGTAAACTAGTATTTTTTTTCCCTCTGTTTCTTGCACTTTTTCCCCCTCTCCTTTTTTTTCCTTTTGATTAGTCTTTTATTCTATGTAAAAATTCTTAATAAATACAAATTTAAAAAAAACAATCTAGAATAAACATCAGTTAGGTTAATTTATGTTCCTGAACAGCCACACAAATATCTTTACATGATATTCGGCCTGGCACTGAAAAACAGATTTTCAGAAATTAACTGCCCATTGCGTAAATAAAAAATAGATGAATAGTAAAAATTCCCAGGTTGCCCTTAAAAAGAAAAGCCCTGTTGATATTGTAAACTTCAGTTGAGCCAGGAGATGGCAGCATTTGTATCTATTGCAGGTTGAAACTTTCAAGAAGAAACTTTTGGAAGGTTTGGTCTAATCAGCCCGAACTAATAAAAGCAAAATATAACTACAGGAAATGAAGATTAAAAACTTCACTGTTTTGGGTGTTTATCAAGGCTAGGAAGTTAGGAACCTCCCAAAAGTCAGATTCCTTCTTTTTGTTTTCCTGATAATTATAGGAGACGGTCTCAGCAAATTCACGTACTTCCTTATGGTGCTCCAGGATGAATTTAGATTCCTCCTAAAGCTATTATAAGAATAACCTTTTCTCTCAACTGACAAAACATGCTGATTTCTTCAAAAGAATAATTGTTTGTTTACAAGCAGGGCTTGCAATGAAATAC